ATGGTGGAGGTTGAAGGAGAGGGGGTAGGAGAGAGGCAACCCGAGTGTGGCAGCTGAGAGGCACTGAGCCCTATGTGTACAGCAGACAAGGCCAGCTGGCTGGGCGACAACTGCACTTCCCAGAGCAGCAGACAGTGATGGACCCCAAAAGACCAGAGCAGGAAGGGCTACCTGGGAGGCAATCAGGACCAGCCGCAAAGTCTAAGGGTGGCGTTTAAGGCCCAGCCTCAGACAACCGTAAGGAGATGCTTTGACAGGCAGGGGGTGGGGGCTGGGAGAGTACCAGAAAACTGGCTTGGAGGAGAATAGGGTGGCAGAGGAGACGCAGTGGGACGGCCCCAGATGAAACAAGTCAGAGGAAGCCGCTGGGGGAGTCGGAGGAGCGCAGGAGTGGATGATGGCATGGGCAGTGTGCAGTGGGCAGATGGCCTGGGCTCCACAGGCAGGAAGGAAGCAGAAGCTGTCATGGGAAACAGGCCCCCATAGAGAGAAAAATGGCGTCTGGGAGACCAAGCGTTAGGGACAGGGACACCCTGCAGTCCCCCTTTGTTGTGGTGACCCCGGGGAACACGGCACGTCTTCCACACAGGATGATTGCCTGAAAGAAAGTCTGAGAATCTCCTGGCAGCACCACGTTCACCCTCAAGACACAAGTCCTGGGGGTGGGGGCGGGGGCGGAGATGGGTCTCTAGGGAAAGAGGTGGCTTGAGGTGGTCTGTTAGTAGGCACGAACACCAAATGCTGCTGTCACAACCTTGTCATTCCTTGACCCTTATCCTTGGCAGCTGCAGAGCTCTATAAATCACTGCACCAAGAGGCCCCGTCTTTCATTTCTAGTTGTCATGGAGACACTTGCTTTGGGTTGAAATGTGGTCATGTGAAACCTTCACAATCATTCTTTCTTGATTGAACTTTCATGTTGTCAACAGGAGCGTATCCCTCTTATTTAATACCCAGGTGATAACACAAGCACACTTTATTTATTTATTTATTTATTTTGCAGTAGCGGGGATTGAACTCAGGCAAGTGCTTATTCTACTGAGCTATCTCCCTGGCCCTCAACACAAGCATACTTTAAATACTATAAAATACAAAGTATGATCGAAGAATATTGTGAATGTTTAAATTTTAAAAATCTATTTTAGTAAAAGTCCCTCCAACACTCCAGAGGCTGAAATGGGAGGATCACCATGAGTTTAAGGCCAGCTTGAACTACACAGCAAAACCTTGTCTCATACAAAGAAAGAAAAAGGCACATTGCCATACTCCTTTCTTCAAGAACATTTATCCCATCATTCTTACCTCTTTTTTTTCTTTTCTTTCTTTCTTTTTTTTTTTTCAGACAGATTCTCACTATGTAATTTAGAACACCACTGAACTCATTATGTAGCTCAGTCTGGCCTCAAAGAGGATCATAGTGATCCTCTTCCTGCAGCCTCCCTAGAGCTGGATAAGAAGCATGTGCCACCATGTCCTGCTCTTGCCACTTTGTGAAGCAATTCTGGAAGTCCTTTTTCATCAGTATCTGCTTTTTTTTTTTTTTTTTTTTTCCCTGTACAGGATCTCACTGCACAGCTTGGACTCGTAGTGATCCTCCTATCTCAGCCTCCCCAGGGCTGGGGTTGCAGGCATGTGCCACCACGGCCAGTTTCAGGGCCAGCATGGGCCAGCACGCTGTGCACTGCTGGGTCCTTGCTCTTGTCAGGCAGGCACTTAAACCACTGAGCTGTCTCCCCGACCCTTTCCTGGGTATCTTTACAAGGTGTAATCAAAATTATAGCGGGTGGGGGCTGGAGATTTGGCTCAGCGATAGAATGCTTGCTTAGCAAGCGGGAAACCCTGCATTCAGTCCTCGGCACCAAAAACAAAAAATAAACCTCCCCTAAAAAAAACAATTCTTTGGGGAAATAAAGAATTAAAAAGACAAAAAAAAAAAAATCAACCAAAAATAAATAAACCTCCCCTAAAATTATAGAGGGTGCTGCTGCTGAGAACCACCCAGCAGACACACACAAAGCATGCTCTTGTTCACCTGCTGGATGGGAGTTGATGATTCACTGCGCAATTCCCAGCTTTTCCCCAGAGTCAGGTGGCCACAAAAGTGAATCATATTGAAATATTGAGGTAGTCACAACAGCACAACTAAAGACACTCATGAAAGAGGACTTCCAGAACTGCTTCAGACAGTGGCCACCAGGATGAGACAAGCGTGTGCAAAGTGAGAGGGAATATTCTGCAGGAGAGTAATGGCCATGTGTCTTTGACTGTAATAAATTTTTAAGATTTAAACATTCACTATACTTTTTGATCTTGCCTCATAAATCAGCCATGAAAAGGGCCTTTGCAAAATTACCCCATGACTGTGGCCCAAACCCAGGTCATCAGCTGTCTGCACCACAGCCTCCAGGCTGCCGGGTGTCCTTGTTCAGCCCAAGCTGAACACCTGACTGCGTAACAGAGCCCATCACATGGCCACGTCTTACCCATAGCCTCCATGGTGTTAGTGAGCTGGCTCGATGAGCTTTGAGTCTATCCAGCGCCCCCTGCTGGGCAAGAAGACAAGGCGCGCCCAGCCTGACCTGCCTGCTTGGGGGTCCCCTAAACTTAGTGTCCAATTTCTAACTTCCAGCTTCCAAGCAGGTGCAACCACAGCTGCCCCAACACCGTGATGTCACTCGGAAACATTGCATGTAGACTAGGTGAACATTGCTTTTCTGGTTTTATAGAGAAGGAACCCAGGGCCTTCACACTGAGCCATATCCCTGACTCCCTCCCTTTTGAGGCAGTGTCTCTACACTAAAGTCGCTGAGTTGCCCAGGCTGGACTCAAACATAATATGATCTTCCTGCCTCAGCCTTCCAGAGTGCTGGGATTACAGGCCCAAGCCTCTGTGCTCAGCTAGACATCCTGCTTCAAATAAATCTTCCGATCCAACCCACACAGCGCTGGAGCCCCTGTGCTGTGCCTCCCCCTGCCCCATACACACCGCCCAGGCTCCCAGAGTCTAGCCAGTCTAGGAGGACCTGGGCCCTAAGGCATGGAGCCCAGCTCCACTAGGAGGCGGGTGGCTTAGAGGCACACAGTACATAGTGCAGCTGCTCCAGGGCACAGAAGTGGCCAAGAGACTGGGCACAGCTAGCTGCTTCTCTGGGGCTCGTCTTTGTCGTCGTCCATGACAAGAACTATGTTCTGGGAGTTAAAAAAAAAAAAAACAAGGAAGAATAACTGGAGCAATGAGACAAGGCTGGCATCACTGTGAACCCCTGCTGTCCGAAGGGCAGACGGCACAGAGGTGCTCAGTCCAGTGCCTGTCCAAGAACGAACACAGACAGGAGGAAAGAAGGGAAAGGCAAGCAAATATATACAAGATAGTTAAGGTAGCTGTACTACTAACATCCCTTAGTTCATTGAAAAGGTGTATGCTAATATTGTTCAGACAATTAAATACCTATAGCTTATACTCTGAGTAAAGATAACACGTGAGGGATTAACCACTGTTGTTCTATTTTGCTTTGATTGTTTTTTCTCTTTAAAATAAAAAAGTGTGTAAAAAGAGTAAGATAAGCAGTTTGCCGCTCAGGCAGGTCCTGAGCCATGTCCCTGAAGTCACAGGAGCTTCTGCCCTGCACCTGACCAACAAGGCAGGTTTCTGTGGAAAGTTGGGGTCAAACACAGCTATTTTCAAAAAGCCATTGCAAACCAAGTGCAAACCAAAAAGCCACTGCAAACCTATAATCCCAACATTCTGGGAGGCTGAGGCAGGAAGATCACAAGTTTGAGCCCAGCTTGGGCAATTTATGAACTTAATGAGATTCTGTCTCAAAATAAAAATATTGAAAGGGGATAGAGATGTACCTCAGTGTGGAGATCCTGGGTTCAATCCCTAGTACAAAAAAAAACCTTTGTAGGGACAGGGGATGTGGCTCAGTGGTACAGCAATTGCCTAGCTCGCTTTAGGCTCTGGGTTCAATCCTCAGCATCACAAAATAAATCAATCATTGTACCTTTTTTTCTGCAGCTGCCCTATCAAGTTACCATGAACTTAGTGGTCACTAACTTATTCTCTTAGAGTTCTGGTCCACAGTGAATTTTAAAAGACTGAAATGAAGGATCCTGGGGCTGGTTCCTCTGGGAGGCACAGAGAACAGTCCCTGCCTGGGCCTTGCCAGCCTCTGGGCTCTGACTTTTCCTTCACACTTGCACATGTCACTGTATTCCCCGCTTTTTTGTCATCTCACCTTTTCCCACCTTTGACCCTCTTCCCTCCCTTATAGAGAGCCCTCATGCTTCTAGTTAGAGCCCATCCAGATAACCCAGACTCATCTCCCATCTCAAGGTCCTGGGCTGGTGAGATAGCTCAGCGAACTAAGCGACTGCTTAGGCGGGCACAGGGACTGGGGCTCAGATCCCAGCCCCAACCCTGGGCACGCTGAGCCAGCCACCGAGACCAGGCATGATGGCACATTCCTGTAATCCCAGCACTGAGGAGGATCACTGCAAATCCAAGCTGTGCAGTGAGACCATGTACCTAATACATTAAAAAAAAAAAAAATCAAGTTCCCTAACTTAATCACATCTGCAAGACCCCTTTGGATCCCCATAGGTCCCACAGATTGGGACTTAGGATGTGGCAGATGAGGCCAGCCATTCCGCAGCCAGCCACAGCACCAGGTGTGATTCTGCTGCGCTCCTTTGACTAAGAATCACTGAGTCACTCCCTGATCCAGAATCCAGTTAGATCCCCAGACCACACATAAGTAGCATGCAGTCAGTCGCTTGTGTCAACACTCCAGTGCGGCCCAGTAGCTCCCGCTGGTTGGCTAATGGTCCGCATGGAAACATGCAGTATGGTCCAGCCCACCTGTCTGTCACATCTGACTCCTGTGACTCCAACAAGCAGAGAAGTGAGGCTTGACCTCCCACCCCCACCCCCATCTTACCCAGGTTTAAGCTGGGAAATGACCTGCATCCTCTCTCCCACCCTGCATCCTCTCTCCCAGCTGCCGTCAGCCAGTCCAGTGGACTTGCTGCTAAATTTGTCATCCACTGTCACATCCCCCAGTGGGGCTCTGACAAATGTGAAGAACAGCTTGAAGAGACGATCAAAAACTGCCTGTCAGCGGCTGAGGACAAGAAACTGAAGTCTGTCGCCTTCCCGCCTTTCCCCAGCGGCAGGTAGGATGGGCTCTTGGTGGGTTTTTCAGCCTTGTCCCTGGGAAGCAGCCATTGCGTCTTGCTCCCCTTAGCTCTGCCCAGCCAATGGGCAACAGAGTAAACACCCCAATTTCCACCTTCCAGCCCATAGAGACGGGCCCCTGGTCCCTGGTAGCTGCTCTCTGTAGCTGGGCCAGCTCCGCTGCCTCCTTTATGTCAGTTCTCCAAGAAAAAGACAGCTGGAGAAGACGCCATGGCAGAGGCAGTGCTGCCTGGTGGTGTCTGAGGGCCTGCTGTGTTCAGAGCCCTCGCCCGCACACACCAGCTGGCCGTGTGTAGGACACATCAGCAAACACCGGGCTCAGAGACCACACCTCCTGGTGTGGCCCGGGCACCAGGAGCAGTAACACCACTTGGTCAGGGGGAGCTAACAGGCCAGAGTCGGCTCTCCGCAGCCCAGGCCAGGAGCCAGCAGGATGCAGTCTCCATGGTGGGAGCCCAGCCTTGTGCCCCATACAGGCAAACTCGGAAGGATGTGCCCCAGGCAGGCCCATCCTGGACTTTCCCCAGCAGTCTCAGGGGCTGACCCCAAATGGTACTATGGCTGCATCCCTGGAGACTGCTCACCATTGCTGCCAAGGCCCTGCCCAGAGCTGGGCAGAAATTACACTGGCATGTGTTTGTGAGTTACAGGGGAGACATCAGACACACATGGAAAGGAATTTTGAACATGAGCTTTGAGCCTACAGTTTTGCCCTTACTTAACAATCTAGTTACCATGCAGAGCAATTTTGAGGGAGCTCATAAAACCTGTATTTGCTTTTTTTTTTTTTTAATCTGTACTATGATTCAGCCCACATCCTTCATACCAAGCCCCTTCTGTAGTTTCATTTTTAAATTGAGTCACTAAGGCGCCCAGGTAGGGTCAAATTTGCAATCTTCCTGCCTCAGCCTCAAGTGGTACAAGTGTTAAAACTGCACCACCTCGCCCAGCCCTCTGTAGGGATCTGGTGGTCTCACCTGGATTGGTTCTATCTGGGGAGAAACTGCAGCAGGAACGAGAAAAAGACAAGAAGACAAAAGCTGGGCAGGGTGGTTGCTGGCCTGCCTTAGAGGCAAGATGGAAGCAACTCCACAAGAAAACCAACTTTTATTTATACCTTTGCAAAGTTTGTAACACGTGACAAGGGGCTGGGGAGACAGCTCAGTAGAATAAGCGCTTGCCAAGCAAGCGCAGGGTCCTGAGTTCAATCCCCAGTACCGGGAAAAAAAAAAAAAAATCTGCAAAGTGTAACATGTGACACAAGGCTGCCTAGAGGCTAATAGCCAACCTTAACCAGGCAGGGTGTTTATCCCTGGCCCGAGGGAGCTTGTTTGCTTTAGGCGCTGGGGCCTAGTCCCGCCTACATATGTTTGATCAATTTTCTAATTTCCGGGGCTCCCAGCATCTGTTTGCTGTTTGATGACCAGGTCTTGTGAATCCTAAATTCTTAGGGCTTTTTCAGCCAAGTGCTACTTGATTCAGATGATAGCTTCCAATACCGAGCGCTCTTTGCCTGCCAGCTCTGACTCTGCTAAAGTCCTCCCACCTGAGCCAGTGTGTAGCCCCTGCCTACACCCCCCAGGCTGGCCGCTGAGCTGGACCACGCCCTGCACAGCAAGGCCACACACACCCCCCTCCGGCCCCTGCGTGTCAGGGTCCAACGTGACATGGGCTTTCCTTTTGCTTTGGCACAGAAACTGCTTTCCCAAACAGACAGCCGCGCAGGTGACCCTCAAGGCAATCTCGGCCCACTTCGACGACTCCAGCGCATCGTCCCTGAAGAACGTGTACTTCCTGCTCTTTGATAGTGAGAGCATCGGAATCTACGTGCAAGAGATGGCCAAACTTGACACCAAGTAGCTGTGCTCCGGCAGGGATGGAGGAGCAACATCGCGTCACAAGAGTGGGGTTTTATTTTTTAAAAAGGAGCAAAGAAGGGTGACGGCAGGAGTGCAGTGGGCAGCTGAGAGGGACAGGGGCAGCAGGCGCCCCTGCGTTTTATATTCTCCTTACAAAGGGCCTCGGTCCACACCTAACCAGGTCTCCACCAGGGGTTTTTTCCATGTTTTCTTCCTATTGTTTTAGAACTTTTTTTAAAACAAAATCAGACCTCGTTTTAGATTTATAGCATTGACTTTTACACACACTCAAAAAAAATCCTTTCAAGATTCTTAAGGCTTTTGTTCCTCCTTCCCCCCAAGGGAGGAGGGTGTGAGGGTGACGTGGGTTTGTGGGCTGCCTGTGTCCCGTGGTGCAGAGAAGATGGGAAAGACGTCTCACTGGTGCTTTTCTCTCGTTTCCGTGTCCCCTCCCACCCTAGCCCCCGGCCCCGATACCTGTAACTATTCCTAAAGTGTTTTTGCTTCTTATTTTGGTTTGGTTTCATTTTGTTTTTTAAAGAAAATGAAAGAAAAAAAAAAAAAAAAGATCCAGTGTCTTTCTTGTAACATTCTTTTATTATGACATTTTTTTCCTGTTTAGAAAACTACATCCCAGTGGATAGAAGCTTCTACGATGTTGTAAGTCAGCAGCAATATGCCTGTGACTACACCAGGGGCTGGCTCAGGCAGCAGGTCCTGCCACAGGCCCAAAGCCTCAGCCCCAGCTTCCAGCAGAGTCACCATCTGGGAGGGGCGTGTTTCTCACTGGGGCCTGGGTCAAGAAGTGGCCATCTAGGCCACCACTGCCTGCATAGGGATGGACTGAGATCCCCAGAGAGGTAGGGGTCTGAGGACTCTGCTCCAGAATCCAAAAAGCCATCACCCATGATGGCTCCCATCATGAAAAGTGAGCAAGGACGACTGGAGTCAGGCCTGAACTTAGATGAATTCAGCAACCTCTTCTGCTGTGCACATTTAACTGAAGTGGTCCAATGTGGACCCCTCCACTCTGGAAGACCTCTCGACCTGGAGGAGTCGGGGACACCTTACCACAGTCAGCGGCAGGCAGGCAGGCTGCCACATGACTGGGCCTGCAGACAAGTAGTACTGGGGCTGACCAAGAAACCAGAAGCACAGAACAAAGCCCCGCAGCATCAGTGGGATTTTGTCCTTTACAGAGTTGCCCATGCCAATAACCTGGAAATCCCCGCGGATCTCCTGCAGAATCTGTGTGCTCCTTAAGGATGACTAACCCCCCCCCCCAAGTGGGTCCAGGGTCTGCCAGCCTATCCATAGGCCAGGCTGCAGCCTCGACCCTGACAGCTCCAGGAAGCTCACTGTTGGGCTAGCCAGGAGGGGAGCAGTATAACTTTCGTCTTAAAAGTACCTATAGTATATAGTTAGGATATAATAAAGGAAGGTTCGTGAAGATTAAAGCACATGTGTAGGGATCGCCTAGGTGCGGGGGCATGCCCCTGTAGTGGCAGCTACCCGACAGGCTGAGCTGCGAGGAGCCCAGGAGTTCAAGGCCAAGCTGCATGACACAGTGAGACCCTGTGTCGAAGAGGGGGACAGAAGGAAGCAGGGAGGGGAGAGAGGCACTCACCAGAGTTCACAATGAGGCTCTTGTTGACAAGTTGCTTGTTGCAGGATCAGGGGCTTCCCCACCCTAATGTGATGGGAAAGCTGTGGCGTGCACCACGTCCCCCAGCTGCCCTGCTCAGCTGGCTTCATTTTGGAGGTTGTCCTTCCGTGCTCACAGGACAGGATGGCAGCCACCAGGCCCAGCTCTCTCCCGACCCTGAGAGCTCTGATCACCACACCCAATCCTCCCCATGCACACAAATGTGTGCACACAAGTGTGCGTACACACACATGCACGCGTGCGCGCGCGCACACACACACACACACACTCCAGATCCCCTGGAGCCAGGAGTACAGAAGGCTGCCTCTGCCCCCTCCCAAGACCCTTCAGCCAGTGCTGCTACAGCCAGACCCTTCACACCCAGAAAGGATCCTCTAGACATGGTTTTTTAAATCTTTCTCACTTTCTCACTCTCTTTTTGGATTCACACAAGATACATTTCCAGACAGGACATCCCCAATGTCTCACTCCAGAGAAAGGCTTTGCGCTTCTGCCCTTTGGCATGAGTCAGGTGGGCCCACTTGTCACATGTCACTCTCCCATGCGCAGCACGGCCATGTCTCCTGCCCAGCCTCCCATCAGGGTGGGGACTGCCTCATGGTTTTCCAGCTTGTGGAGACAAACAGGTCCCTGCTCTTGGCCAGCCGAACCATGAGCCGCCCCACATAGAAGCCACTGATCTGGCCCACGCCGTCATTTCTGCCCATGGACAGGAGGAAGGTCAGCGCACCTGTGGGGCAGAGACACATACACACATAAAGTGGAATCTTGTGTTATGGTCGGGCTAAGCCTGCGATTCCCACAGCACAAACCCTTCCCAGACCTGCAGGCCCAGGAATAAGCACGACTTCTAGGAAGGCGGGCGAGTCCCTGATGGATTCCTGTCTCTTCTATCCAGGATCTCACTAAGCCACTAAGTTGTCCATGCCTGACTCAAATTTGCAATCCCCTTACCTCTACCTCCAGAGTTCTGGGATTACAGGCATGTGCCACCATGCCCAGCTCCTTCACTGATTTTTACAGAACTTCAGGGCAACGTTCCTGTCACCAGCCTCAAGAATTCAGTGTGCTGATCAGTCATCTTGAGCCCAAAAAGATTTCCCCACTTGTACCCTCAAACTCTAAACTGTGACACACACAGGCCTCCTTACCTGGCTTGTAGGTCTTAAGGGGCCTCTGCTTCATGGAGTTGACAATGTTGGCCACAGCGATGTTGGCATGGAGGCCGGCATGATAGGCCATCTTGGGCTCCTTAATGTCAGCGCAGTCACCAATGGCATAGATGTTGCTGTAACCCTCTACCTGGAGGAACTCGTTCACTCTCAGAGCCCCGTTGCTGGCCAGCCTGCTCTCTGTGGGAAGGGTGATACTGCACGCAGGTGCCTGAGTGGCCGCTGTGGGCCCGCACTGGCTCAGCCCCCCTCCAGAGGCATCGTTCCCCGTGCTCCTGCATACACACCCTTCCTGCAAGGGCACACTTACCTCAGGACAAGCACAGAGCTTGGCCACTTATATTGGCCAAGTCCTAAATTTCCACTTGATCATAGACTACTAGACTTTAAAATAAGCACAGGCCTTTAAATCTATAATCAACTGCTTTTCTTTTCAAGGGACTCAACAGAACTCATCTTTGAAAATACAAATTAGGATCATGAAGTGCTGAATTCTGGGTTCACGATCCATTATAAGCTTGCCCTGGTGTGCAGCTTGGCCTCCAGGGCATGCTACAATCACTTCTGCTGGATGCAAAGCAGGAGCTCCTGGTTGGAGAAAGCTGCTTAGAAATAAATACAGCAACCCAGGGATGAGGCAGCCACAGAGCCTGACCACTGCGTCTCCTGCTCACACACAGAGGCTTAAATATGCATCAGTCCAGCAGGCCTCCATCTACAAGCTAAACAGATGAATGCTGTGTTTTAAGAAATGAGGCCACAATACAACCCCTACCCCCTAAATGGTCTTGGAAGCTAATATCTGGATTTGGGGTGACCAGGACACTTTTGAACTGAGAAAGGCCTGGCCCAGAATTGCCTCCATATCCACATAAAAAGGAAAGTACAGGTGGAATGGAATCTTGCTTAGCACTCTGAAGACTGTTCATATCTCTGACCACCAGGAGGCAGTCCTAAATTTGAATCCTTTTGATCTCAGACCACGTTGGACTAAGCCATTATCACAGCTGCGGAAAAATCCCCAAGCAGGAACCCTAACTTGACATTAAAGTTCAAGGTCACCAAGTAGAAGAGAGGGAGCTGCCAGGATGAAGGAAAAAGGCCGGGCAGGCCGATTTGGACACAGACCGGGACTGGGCCTCCTGCTTACCAAAAGTACCGTGATAGGCAGAGCTGTTGATCTTAATGCCAATGCAGGGAATCACCATGTTGGTCGCCACCTCGGTGCCCTTGTCCGTCTGCACTTTGATGTAGTCCCGATACTCGCTAAGCGGCAGCTCCTCCAGGTTGCTCACCCGCTCACCTGGCAGGGGGACCAGGAGCAAAAGGCTGCCACTGGCTCCTCCTCAGTCCCCTCCACCACCCCAGAGGCACAAGTGGGCATCTGGGCCCCAAGGACCCAACTGGAGGAAAATTCCAAGAGCTGGCCAGAGGGCAGCAAGGCCAAGCTTCCAAGAAATTCAGCAAAAGGCCCCAGCACACATTCCTGAGCAACAGCCACTCCCTTGTCTGTGCAGGGTCACCTCCCACCCACCATCCACAAAGGCACAGCAGAGAGGCGGAACCTGCCTGCCTGCCTTCAAGCCCTGCTGGGGACCAGCAGTCTTCCATGACCAGTTAGCACAGGGGGCTGTGACAGCCACGAGGTACTGCCATAACAGATGCCCCATCTCCCAACCTCTCCACAAACAGGAGGACAAGGCCCAGCATAGGCGTCACAGCCCTGGACAAAAGCTACACTCACTACCCTCAAAATACAAACCCACTCCCTCTACTGCAAAGATAGAAAAATAAGGGGCAACTCCTTTAGATGCACTTAAAAAATATCATTCAGCTAATAGGCACCCGCTATCTGTCCTGCACCTGAAGTAACAGTCACCACTGCTGCCGCCACGACCCAGGCCTCCAGCTGGACAAGGTTCACCTGGGTTCTGATGCTCAAAATCATTTCCCATCCTCCATGATAAACCCTGCATACAGTGGCAAAGAGGGAGGGGGGCAAGGTCCCACGTACTCAGCAGCAGACGCACGCCCTTCCGGAGGAGGATCTCCTTCACTTCCTGCCGCACACTGGGCAGAAGCTCAGGGTCGGCCAGGGCTACTTGGGAGTGAATGAGAGTGACCTGGGGACAAAACAGCCACGGGACAAGCCCTAAGAATCCAGCTCCAGGGACCATTCACCCCCTCCCCCGCCTCCACTTGGCTGCAGAGGAAGCCAAGTCCATCTGCGCAGCACTAGAACCAGTTAGTGAGAAGCCGGGCTCTACCACATCACTTAGCCTACAACTCTTTCAGCACCACCTTGCTGCCCCTGGGCCAGCTGGACGGCCACCCATGGCTCCAGTGGGCCACCACCCACACCTAGCCAGGGCCACCTTGGCCACTGCTTCCAAGCATCCTTGAGTGCTTACAACTAGGTGACCTTTGTATAAGCTCAGGCGTTCCCACTTCCAGCAGGCTCGCGGGGCATCACAGCTAGTTCTGAAAGCAGTGTATCTGGGTCTGCTTGCTGCCCGCCTGGGTCAGCACAAGGGGGCTCCGGGAGCCTGTGACCATGTCCAAAGCCGGCTCTGAATCAGACTCCCGGAGTTGACATCCCAAATCTGAGACTCACACATCTCCCAAAGGCACAAGAGTTACTCAGGACAGAGCAGCAGCCATGGTACTCTAATTTTCCTATTAAGCACAGGCATACAGATAAAGGTTTTGTTTTTGTTTTTTTTTTTAATTTTATGGAAGAGTCTACAGGGTGTTCAGGGTCTCACTACTAGATCAGACTCAAAGTGATCTGCTTGTTTACAGCCTCTCAAGAGCTGGGATTACAGGCGCGTACCACCATGCCCAGTCTTAATTTTCATCTCAGCACACTCTGGGGGCGGGGCTGGCATAGCAGGCCCGGGGGATTGAACCCCAGGCCTCTGTGCCTGCTTACAGGCACTTTAATCCTGAGGATTTGATTAAATCCTACTGAAACAAGGTGTGGTGGTGGATGCTTATAATCCCAGTGCTGGGGAGGCTGAGACAGGAGGATCACTATGAGTCCAAGCTGTGTAGTGACACCTTGTACCAAATACATAAAAAAATGAAAATAAAAAAATGTCTTATTTCACGGGGTCTTGCTACATAGCTCGGACTCGTAGTGATCCTCCTGTCTCAACCTCCCCAACACTGGGATTACAGGCACGCACCACCACACTTTGTTCCAGTGGCCAGCACAGCATACCCACAGCCTCCAGGACAGGCACAGCATACAGTACCAGGGATCGAACCCAGGTCCTTGCTCTTGCCAGGCAGGGGCTTAGACCGCCAAGCTCTCTCTCCAGCTCTGCAACTTCTGAATTCTAGGCAATTCAGACAGAAATGCAGGTGGCTAAGACCTACTACTCGCCACTGGCATCTGAGCGGGGACTGTCATATGTTTTGTGTTTTGTTTTTTTGTGGAACTGGGGACTGAACTCGGGCCTTGGGCTTGCCAGGGAAGCGCTTATTCTACTGAGCTATCTCCCCAGCCTGTCATATGTGACTGAGCCCTTGACCCAAGGGCCTGCGCTAACTACAGACAGCATCAGAACTGGGCTGGACTGTAGCACCTGCAGTTGGTGCCAGAGAACTGGCTGTTGTGGACACAAACCCCACACAGCCTGTCACTGAAGTGTTGAGTACAAGCACAGTGAGTAAGTAGGCTTTCCCTACACGACTCTTATAAATCAAAATGAAGAACCAGCAACTGTCTCAACCACTCATAATTTCCAACAACTTGTCAGAGAACAGTCATATAATTCTATTAGTTATGATTAATTTTTCCTTTCAAAACCAATCTGTCTTTCCCTGGGGGGAAAAGCCATGCCCAGGCGGCAGGGGCTCTCAGCAGGCAGCCTGCATGCGCAGTAAGCAAGCTCCGACCTGCAGGCCCACATGGCCACCACCCTTCAGCCCTCACCAAGCATCAGGAGGGTCCTAGCAGGCCAGCACCACCCTGTATGAGCAGTCACTCCCAAATGCCACAGGCATGGACCACCATGTTCTGCCCAGCCTGGCCAAACTGGCCACCAACAGAAGAGATGATCAAACTCCAGGTTTTATCACAAAAGCCTGAATTCTTAAGGGACCCAGGAAGTCATCTTTGTAAGGACTCTCCGTGGGCTTCATCTTCCCTGTTGGACCAGAAGGCAAGCTCCTTCCTGGTTGGGGACAGTCACAGTGGATCTATAAGATCAGAGATCCTGGCTCTCAGGGAAAACTTCCTGTAGAATCGAGCTGCAGCACAAGATGGGAAACACACTCAGCTGAAGTGTGTGGAGCTCCGTCCCTGCCCTGGGCAAATTCCTAATGTTCAGAAGGTAAAGCAGGAAGAAGCCGACTCAGCGGAAGGCAGCCTCACCCCTTTCTCTGGGTAGTCTGTTTTGATCTCCGCAGCCATCTCCACTCCAGCGGAGCCTCCTCCCACCACCACTATGAACTCTGAGCGCTGGACCTGGGAACAAAGAGATGGTGAAACACCTCCAGACCTCCCACCACCTGGTGGCAGCAACCAAGTAGAGTCCTTGGCCAAAAAAGTAGGGAACATTGTTTCTATACTGGGGTTCCTCTGCCTGCCCCACAAGACTGCTGTGAAAACTGATTGATACTGGGAGCTGAATCTACCCTGCAAAACCCACAGCCCTGTGTGAATGCAAAGAGACCTCAGGAAGCAGGAGTGGGGACACCACGCAGGTCTGGGGAGCCAGCGTGCCTGGCCAGCCGCAGGAATGGGCTCCAGGCTTCTCCCAGGAAATCTCTTCCCAGCAACTCTCCAACTTCCCAGCTTCCTCTGCCTCTCTGAAGTCCACACCAGCAGCAGTCCAGCCCAGCCTGCTGTCACCTCAGCTGTCCCTGCCCCACACCTATCAGCGGCAGCTCACCTGTGTCACCATGTCCTCATAGGCCTGGATGGCAGCCTGCTGGCAGCAAACCTTATTAAATTTGCCAGGGAAGGGCCCAGTGCTGCCTGTGGCCAGGATGAGATGTGAGAAGGGCAGGGCCTGTGGGGGGACCAGGGAGAGAGAAGGCAGGTAAGACAGGGCAGGGCCCAGCAGCACTGGTGGATGAGGGCCCTGGCTTCCAAGGAATCTGCCCTGTGAGGAGGCAGGAGAGCACACCAACAGGCCGAGGATGGCACAAAAGCCCCAATTTTATTTCCACCTAGAAAAGCCTGGGCCACAGAGCCAGCCGCCATGGGACCTCAGGAGGTCAGTGAGGAACAGGAAACTGCTATGGGGAATTAATGAAAACTCATTCATTGTGGAAGAGTTCAGAATCTCCTGGGTGTTTCAGAAGAACCCCCTCCCCCACCCCTGAGAAAGGGGACTGTGGAGGAGGATGAGGGGAAGAAAGGGAGCCCGTGGGAGGCTGGTTTGCAATCTAAATGCATGAACAGTGGCAAAACAGTGGGAAGGGGGCCAGTGAGTCTGGACTGCGCAGACCCCTCTTCCCCCATGGAGCCCAGAGATACACTGGTGGCCCTAAGGCTCCAAGAAGCATAGCCCAAAATGACAGGAGCAGGAGGCATGCAATTGTCTTTCCAATCAGGAGATTCCCTGACCCAAAAATAACTCAGGGATGACCAATTTAGTTCACCCAAAAGCACCTGGGCTCCTTCAGGGCAGGAACTGTGCCCTACCCACCTTTTTTTTTTTTTAGACAAGGTCTTGCTGTTAGGCTGGCCTTGAATTCAGAGCAACCTGCCTGCCTCAGCCTCCTAAATGACGGTATCACAGGCATGCGCCACAGTGTCCAGCTTTGTCTCCATTCCGGTTGCCTTTAATTTGAACAACTGAGCAGGGGACAGAGCAGCCCATGAGCTATGTGGGTAGGAGCCACATGTGGATGGGCTCCAGTCCTTGCAGGGACACAAAGATGAGTGAAAGTCATGTCTGCCCACCAACCTCCCGAGCCCAGGGGTGGCCTCCACACTGACCAGGCCTGGGCCTCACTTGGGACACTGGCTTTTGGGTCCTGGGTGCTGGGCCGAAGCTGCCTAGGTTCAAATCCTGGCTGCAACACTCATCAGCTAGGGGCTTTCGGCAAGGGTTTAGCAATCCCTTAACTTCTCTGTAAAGTGAGACTCCCTATGGTAAAGCCTCGGTCTGCGATGCACCACGCAAGCCTGGGCCTCAGGGATGGCGCTCTCCACCGGGGGGGGGGGGGGGGGGGGGGGGGGGGGGGGGGGGCTCCAGCCG